CGAGACTTATTGACAGAAATGGAAAACCAACAACTTAGATTCCTACTATGTTTAGGATACTGAGTTAGACACTAGGAGTAGTATGAATAAGGAAATAAGCTTCCTTCTCTCAACTTATTGTTGAGATAAAGCATAAATTTTGCGTGGTAGGTGGGTTTATTTTTTAAAATGTGTACAAGCTGTTAGGAATACAAAAAGGGAGTTCTTTACCTACTCAATATTCTTTCCCTCCTTCTTCCTTCCCGACAGAATCCTGAGGTTGTTCAGGAATCCCTCTTACCCACAACTGGTGTAGCTCAGCATCCTGATCTCCAAGAGTGGTCTGGACCGGTGTAAGGGTAATATCACCCTCTTGCAAGGGACTGGGTTAGGATCATGTATGTTCCCTAGTTCACCTCAGTGAGTTGCAAAGATAGGTTTGTAGGATGCTTCCAGAAAAGCTTTTCCAGGAGAACTTCCAGAAGAGATTCACGCTCCCTCTGGACATGATTGAGCTTGGATATGAGGTGTGAAATTGTTACCATCCTTTTGATGGCAACCTGTGTATGAGGTCAGCACATGGGGGAGGCCAAAAGAATAGCCGAGAAATGGAGCTAGAGTAATGGGATTATGTCTGTCTGTCTTAAGTCTGTCCCACTTTTGGATCTCATGTGAGTTAATAAACTTCCTTATAGTTTAAAGCAATTTTGAGTTGGGTTTTCTGTAACTTGCTATGAAAGTTTTCTATCTTGCACAGGTGGCAGATACAGACATGGTCTCTGACATCTTATGATTAGTGAGGAAGGCAGATAGTCAAATGGGTAGTATTATACTTCAAGCAACAGAAAACTAGATTAAAGTGACTAATACAAAGGGGATTGTTTTTCTCATATAATAAACCCATAGCAGATGTGCCTATTTGAGAATGTCAGCAAGGAACTAGGCTCCTTGCTTTCTGTGTGACTAGGGATACCTAGTATATGACTTTTGTCTTTATGGTTGTAGGATGACTCTACCCTTATGGACATTGTGTGCACACAAAGATGAAAATAAAAGGGGCAAAGAGCCAAAGGAACATGACTGCTGAGTTTTTTTCTTTTGAAAATCTTTGCCAGAGGCTCTACCCTGCAGGCATAGGCTTTTGAAGAGAAGATCAAGATGACCTCTAAATAGTCCCTAAACTTGTATTTTCAGGGTTAACAAAGGGAGGAGGCATGATAAATGATGCGTCCCTATCACCTTTCCCCCTCCTACACAGTATCCAAAGTAGATTATTCCAGTCATCAAGAAAGCCATCATTCTGAAGAGCTAAATTAAATGTCAAGCATTGGCAATGATCACTGCTACATAAGCTATTTTCTGTCATGATAGGCTATGGCAGAAACTTAAAGAAATAGTGGGTTAAGAGGTATTGTTGAGGAAAAGCTGCAAAAGTTGGCAAGAGCAATGGATGGACAGTAGACATTGCTAGAGAGGAGGCTGTCATTCTTCATATATGCGGAAGGAGGAAAGCAGAGAAGTAAAATGAATTTTTGAAGATGGGACATCTCAATTATTTTCATTTCCCCCCAGACTCTCCTAAAGTGATCAATACACTAAAGCCCCAAGGAGTCTTAGCAGAAAAGAGATATGGTTCGCTATTGTGTAGTAATTTTCCTCTTCCTTTTCTCCTTGATTTATCCATTTATAGCATTTAAAATTGACTACTTCCTTGAAATTCACTCTTGGCTTTTGGGTCATTGTATTACCCTGGTTTTCTTAGTACCATTGGAAGGTCTTCTCTTCCTACTCTCTTCTTATTGTGTGTTAAATGTTCCATCTACGGGCTTTGGCTTAGGGACAGAGTGGACTCTTTTGGTGAAAACTCTCTTAAATAATTTCTGTTTTAAAATATTTAGTTATAATGGAATAAATATATTATCTCCATTATATAGCATTAACATTACTACAGTTCAAAATCAATTAGAATTTTTGAACCGCAGTTTGCCTTTAACTAGTGAAATTAATATTTCCCACTTGGGAAAAAGAACTAAATAAACATCATAAAAAACAGTGCAGAGCTTCCAGTTTGATGAACCCTTAGAGATTTGGGGAGAATGACATGCTCAAAGAGCATGGAAGCTCCATGCCCCTTCCCAGGTAACTTGCCCTATACATCCATCTGGTTGTTCCTGAGTTATATCCTTCTATAATAAACCAGTAATCTGCTTGTTTTCCTTGCTATCTAAAAAACACAAGAGTTGTGGAACGAGCTACACAGTCCTTGAGAGGTTTTCTGAGTTCCATTAATGTTCCTTTATAGGTTATGCATTTAAGTAAATGTCACTGAAGAGGTGATTTGAACGATGTTGAAAATCATCAGTTCCTGCCTGACAGATTCTCTTCCCCACAATCCAGACTTGGTGCATGCACTGCTTTACAAATGAGATCTCTTTGAACAATCTTGAACTTAACCACTTCAGGATATAATGCAAAATACTGATCTGGTAACCACCTTCTTTCGTTCAATGTTGCTAGAAGCTGAAGCTGAGCTGTTAGTGGAATGGATCCTGGAAATTATCAAGCAAGGGGTTGTTGCACACACAGGCTGAAGAAATTTCCAGAACTGAAATTCAACTATGTAGAAGAGGGGCAGCAGGCCTTCCAGTTATTGTACTTCTGGGAAACAGAAGTAGACAGGTTGCCTGGTGTATCTTCTATTAAAGAGGATCACACAAGTGTACTTCCCTTGCACACTTTGGAGAATTGGTGCCAGATGGCAATAGATCAGTCAGCTAGACTGTAGTGCAAAAAGTGAGGGAGGGGGACACAACAACCATAAATGTAAAAACCTGCTTTTAAAGAAAGTACAGAGGTGTCTGACTGGCTCAGTCAGTAGAGCACATGACTCTTGATCTCAGGGTTGTGAGTTCAAGCTCCACGTTGGGTGTAGAGATTACTTTAAAAATAAAATCTTAGAAAAAAGAGTACAGGGGCGTCTGGGTGGCTCAGTCAGTTAAGCATCTGCCTTCGGCTCAAGTGATGATCCCAGGGTCCTGGGGTCGAGTCCCACATCTCCCACATCGGGCTCCCTGCTCAGCAGGGAGGCTGTTTCTCCCTCTCCCTCTGCCTACTTGTGCTCTCTCTCTCTCTCTCTGTCAAATAAATTTAAAAAATATTTTTTAAAAAGTACAAAAAGTAAACAGATACAAAGGAATATTTATCTTGAAGGGGGCAGGGATTTATCTGAGGCAGGGATTAAGTGCTGATGTTTTATCTGTGAGGTGCCTTCTGAGGACATCGACAGTGAAGGAAAGGAAAAAAGGTTCAGATGGAAAGTAATACAAGGGGACGGGATACTGTGTTAGCCACTGCTTCATGGTGAGCCTCAAAGAGACACAGTCACAGTGCAAGGGTGTTGTCACAGTTCCATTGCCCTGGACGGACTATATGGAGAAACTGCCTCAGAGCAGTTTGAGAGGAAATTCTTTCTCTTTCTGTCTCTGTCTCTTTCTTTTTAGATATTTTAGGATTTTAATGTCCTTCACATACTCAACATAAGACACTGACAGTGGATAAACAGTAGGGGAAAAGACTCTTCAGCAAAGATCTTCCAGAACTCCATAGTATCATTCTGGTCAAACACTATAAAGAGAACCGTCAAATCAACAAAGGATAAGGAAGTTTGACAGAGAATTTTATTTCAACGGCTTAACTAAAAAATAAAGAACCAAACGTACAGCCTTCACTCTTCTACCCGTTGGAAGGAAAGCAAAAGTGAATCAGAGAACTGTATCTTTTTTGTCAAGCAGCTTAAAAGGTGGGGTGGAGGGTGGGATGGGGACTACAACCGTACCTAATGTAATGTTATAATGCACAAAGTCAAGGATTCTGAGAACTGTATTACTAGAAATATAAATGCATAAAGATGTAAACTATTTGGTATTAAAAACAGACCTTGCTATATAAACACATAGTATGTCACTTTTATCTCTTTATGAAAATAACAGGATAAAGAAAGATCCCCAGTTTGCCCTTTAGCCTGGAAAACTCACCACACAGGCAGTGTGGACCTGAATTAACAGGTGCAGAACCCAGGAGACCCCACTGCTGTCATTTTGGAACGGATCAAGATTTAGCACCCAGAGGACCCCATTCACCCTCCATGCTGTGTGTTTGTGTGTCTCCAGAAGCAATTAGCTACAATTTGCATAATTAAGTCCACAGACAAGTTTGAATACTGAGATCTAGCTAGAAAAATTAGCGCCAAAGACAACATTAAAAAAAAAAAAAAAGACAACGTAAGCTAGATTTGTTATAAAAGCAAAAGGAAGATTTTTAAAAAATGTTTCCAGTTCAAGTCACAATTAAGGTGTCTGTTGGGGCACCTGGTTGGCTCAGAAGAACATGTGACTCTTTTCTGGGGGGGGCAGAGGTCGAGGGAGAAGGAGGCTCACCACTGAGCAGGGAGCCCGATGTGGGGCTCTACCCCAGGGCCCCGGGATCATAACCTGAGCCGAAGGCAGACACCCAACCGAGCCACCCAGGCACCCCGAACATGTGACTCTTGATCTTAGGGTGGTGAACTTGAGCCCCATGTTGGGTGTAGAGATTACTTTAAAAATATAAAATCTTAGGGGCGCTTTGTGGCTCAGTTGGTTAAGTGTCGGACTCCTGATTTCTGCTCAGGTCATGATCTCAGGGTCATGGGTTCAAGCCCTTTGTTGGCTCTGCGCTGGGCGTGGAGCCTGCTTCAGATTTTTTCTCTTCCTCCCCTTCTGTCCCTCCCTGCCCTACTCTTTTTCTCTTTAAAAAAAAATTAATTAAAAATCTTAAAAAAAAAAAGAATTAAGGTGTCTGTTAAGTCCCACCAGGTTTGCAGAGCTGCGAATGTTTTGCTGTTGTTCTTTGAAAAAAGAAGAATCTATAATAAAATGTTCATTCAACAAAAATACCGGATTTGTTGTTTTTGTAGCCATTCTCAAGTTACTTTAAATTTTATACATTGTTCAAGGGCAGAATACATGTTGGTTGAGATGTGTTCATAGCTGATGCGTCTCCAAAGATTTTTCATGGATGCTGCCAGATCCTAGACATTTTCTATCCTGTCAGCATTATACAGAGAGGCCGGATGACTCCCACAGGCCCACCCCTTTCAAGGAGATCAGATAAGAGTTCAAGAGCTCTAGCAAGTAATCTTTTTTCCTAAAGCATCATGTCCTTTGGCACTGCCACTGCAGAATGGAATATTTGTCTTGCTTCTATTCTGGGACCCACTGGATATACCTAGAATCCTTGAGAATTATCAATATCACAAATCATTTGTGCTTTGATGCAGCTGAGCTTCTCCAATGGCTGCACTGCCTTGTTCTTAATCCACTTCAGGACCCAGCCCGTGTCATAGATGCTGAAACACGGAGGTATGCTGTCTGAGGAGTGATTGGGGGCCTATACTTTGTATTCCAGGACTGAAGGGTACTCTCTGAGGGTGAACCCCAGGGGGTCATCACTAATGATCACAAATGTGATCCCTGCAGAGCCAACATTCTTCTGAGCACCAGCAAAAATCACACCAAACTAGGAAACATCCGCCAGCTTGGATAGAACTTTGGAGGACACGGGGCCAACCACCACGGCTCCCTTGACATCACAGATAAAGGCAAACTCCCCTCTGTGCATGGTCTCGTTGGCCCAGTAATGCCCATAGGAGGTGTCCGGGCTGAGGTTCCAGGGTCTTGGATCTGGAATTTTTGCAAAACTCCCAAGTTTAGGATAGACAATATTCACATCCCCAAACTTCTAGGCTCCTGCTGCCTTAGCTAACTAAGCACCTGTCACCTTGCATGTAGCACACCTTCTTGTTTTCAGGCCAGCTGGGTTTTAAGAGTGACAGCAGGGGACTGGCTTTGACACACCTCTGTGCACAAAAGTTACCTTGTAGTCGTCCAGAACAGCTAGCAATTTCTGTCCAAGATTCTGTGTTGTTAATCATCTTAGCAAAAGCTGACGGCCTGTGGCTCATTTCAAGAGCATTACTGCCAACTTCTATTGTAGTCTAACAATTCTTTTTGTATCTCTAAAAACACCAAGCGTTTTTAGACGGCTGGGTGGCCTGGGCCAAACCGACTGCCTGCCCAGGCGTCCGCGGCTGGCCGGGCTAGGTGGCGGGAGGGGGCTGCTCACCCGGCGGCACATCTCTCTCCTAGCTTTGATTACCCTTTGGTTGGAGCTTTCCCCTCCGGAACTGACTCCTCTTTCCTTCCACATGGCATCATCCAGCCGCTGTGGTAGCTGCTCCAGAAGTCAGTTCTCTTCTCTGTGAGGTGTGGCATTTTATTCAAGTCTGAAAGTGGAGGCAAAAGCGAGAAACTTGAGGCATGTTGCTGATTGCCTCGGATGTTCAGTGGCAGCCTTGAGATAGGGCCTGGCAGTCCCCCAGAAAATGACTGATTTATGCCCCAGATGGCCGAACTGGGAAGGCCCAAGTGACACTGGTTGGCAGCAATGGCTGCTGAGGTGGAGCAAGCAGCTGCTACCCAGACTTTTGTTGTCCTCCCTGAAGTTAGCCAGGCTGCCTGTACCAGATAGTGACTGGCTAACTTAAGCAAAGAGAACTGTTTGAAAAGCTATGAAAAACCTCTCTGGATAGAAGGAAAGACTGGGAACAAGACTTCAAAACAGCAATTGGGCATTTCTAGAAACTGCCCAAAGGTTTCTTCTACTAGTGCTGCTGAAAAAACAAACAACAACAACAACAACAAACCCCACAAACTTACTGCAATCATTGTAACTTGCCTGCAGTCATTCTGCTCAAGATTTAAATTCCCAGGACAAATTCCCAGGTTAGGCAAGCCTGGGGCAAATGCTTACTCTCCCAGGACCAGGATTTCTATCTTGTCAAGCCTACATATAGCTGCGAGAGAAAAACTGCAAAAGCAAAGCTGGGTACTATTGAAGAGGGCAAAGTGAAGCTGTGTCGTTTAACAAAAAGGTCCATTACAATTCACCCCTATGACTATTTTGTTCACAGACATATACTTTAAAACATATTGCCTAACAGAATGCAGCTGTTCTCCCTAAAATGAAAAACTTTCACCCCTTCCTCAGAAGATAACTCTATGTCTCATTACTTACTGCATCAAAATCTAAGCCAAGGATGTCTGGGTGATGTAAATCTCTGCTCTACCTGCAGCTCAACCATCTTAGATCATGTCCCCAAAAGCAGAGCTCCAGCCAGGGATTGTTGTGCAAGAGATTCACTAGAGGAAGGCTCTCAGGTGAAAGGAAGCCATGGAAGCAGGGCCTGATCGCACAGAGTTCTGGAGTCTGAACTGTACACAGAATTGGTGCCAATCTACAACACAGATACGAAGAAATGATCTAGATAAAAAGCTACCTGATCTACCAAATGAAGACCCCGAGCCCACTGGGGCCACCTCCACCTAGAACTTATGATTTGTTTGTATTTGCCTCACCTTTCTTGCTTTTATGGGGACTTCCAGAGGCTCTCAGATTCCCATATGCCCTCTTTCTCATAAGTTCCCATTCCCAGTGATGGTAGAAAAAAACCACGTAAGCTTGCCAAGTGAAATGCAAGTTGGTCTTTTCCAGTTTTAAATGGTCTAATTTAAGGGAAATAATTATTCAGTTAAAGGTCAGACCCCTTATTAAGGCTGTTTTTTTCTAAAAGGTCTTTCTTTCACTTCCACCTTTCCAAGACCAGCAAGGTTACTGCATTGCTGGGTCATAGCAGAGGCTGTAAGGTAGGTAGCCCAGCAATGCAGTAACCTTCCCCTTCACCATGGTGACCTTCACCATGGTGACCCCATGGCAAGCCCATTAGCACTCAACTGGTGTCCCTCTTCTGCCATCTAGGAATCAAAGCAAATCCTGTGTGTGTGTGCGTGTGTGTGTGCACGCGCGCGCATAAAATCTGTGTCCCTGTGCCAAAACATGGTATGCCTCAATTTCTGCTGTGCTTTACTAGCCCATGTGGTCATAGGAGTACTTTGCAGCGTTCCAAACAGAAGTGAGGCTTAAGCCTTCTCTGCCTTTAGCTTCCTATTTAACCTTCCTGGAGTTCCTGCTCTCACTAATCCTCTACTTGTCCAGCCTCAGGATGAACCCTAGGGAGGTTTCTGAGGGACCTGGCTGGTGCCTTCTATTCTGTTCCTGCCTAATCTCTCTTCACTATCAAAATGACTTCTCCCCCTTTTGCTCTGATAAGCAGCTGTTTTATGTACACCGCCACCCCCAACCCCCAGACATTTTGTTCTAGGTGAACTGGCCCTTCCCTTCCATGAAGCCCATCCTTAAAGATAGGAAGACTTCAGGAAAAAAAGACTTCAGGGTAAGGGGGATAGGATGACCAAAAGCATAAAATACTGAAACGATTCTAAAAGTTTTGAAGTTCTGCTGACATAGTTTCTCTCACAACTACAGGGCTGGCGGTTACAGGTCTGAGTTTGGGGGAGCAGGGGGAAATGCGTGGAGGTACTGAGTGGGAGGACAGGTCTGGACAGAAAATGAGGTGACTAGGAAGGCTAAGAAGGTTTGAGGTCACAGGATAGCTGGTGTATCTGTTAAACCACAACCCTGTTGGTAAACAGGAACCCAAGCCTATAAAACATTTGCATCTTAGATTTTCCAATGTCCTTGACTCAGATTAACTCCCCATTTTAAATATAGACAAATGTAAAGTGCTTAACTTTCTAGGTATTACCTTTTTCTCTCAGGTCAGATTTCTTCTCTAGGTGCTGAGGCCTGGTTGGGGCAAATGATGGCTACTTATGTACACAGCTGTCTTTACTTCTTTCATCTGCTAAGAGGAGCAGGGGACAGAATTTTGGGTCAAAGCACAGGGATTTTCCCGGTTTTAACTCTACAGTGTTTCATTGTGAATGTGTATACATGTATGTACATGTTGTGAATGTGAATGTGTATACATGTATGTACACACACATTGGTTTCTGCTTTCCTAAACACATCTCACAACACTGGTTTTTCTCATTGTTACTGGATTGTCTCTCCAAATGAATGATTCCTAACCACTGCATCCTTAGGGTCTACCACTGTACCTGTACACCTGGGTAACTAAGTATGGGTGAATTAATGAAAAGGTATGGTAACATTTTAAGATTTTTTTATTTATTCGAGAAAGAACGAGAGCACAAGCGGGGGGCAGGGGGGAGGGCCAAAGGGAGAGGGAGAAGCAGACTTCCTGCTGAGCAAGGAGCCCGACATGGGGCACAAACCCAGGACCCCGGGATCCAGGACCTGAGCCAAAGGCAGAGTCTCAACCGACTGAGCCATCCAGGTGCCCCCATACTTGTTTCTTACTACATATTGCTGTATTATGTTAGTTTTCAAACTACTGAGTTTGGGGCACCTGGGTAGCTCAGTCAGTTGAGCACCCACCCCTTGATTTTGGCTCAGGTCACAATCTTGGGGTCATGAGATCAAGCCCTGTATGGGGCTCTGCGCTCAAGTCTGCTTGTCTCTCTCCTTCTGCTCCTCCCCCTGGTCGTGTGCCCTCTCAAATAAAATCTTAAATAAAAACAAAACCCTCTATTAACTTCAGCTTGTTAAATAAGCAGATTCCTGGTACCTCCTTCTAGAGATTGTGATTCAAATTGAGGTACGGTCCAGATGTTTTCATGTTTAACCAGCACCGCTAGTATTTTCCTTAAGATTTTATTTGCAGGGCACCTGGGTGGCTCAGCCATTGGGTGTCTGCCTTCGGCTTGGGTCGTGATCCCTGGGTCCTGGGATCGAGCCCCGCATTGGGCTCCCTGCTCTGCACCTGCTTCTCTCCCCCACTCTCCCTGCTTGTGTTCCCTCGCTGTCTCAGATAAATAAAATCTTAAGAAAAAATTTTATTTGACAGAGATAGCGAGAGAGGGAACACAAGCAGGGAGAGTGGGAGAGGGAGAAGCAGGCTCCCTGCCAAGCAGGGAGCCCAATGTGGGGCTTGATCCCAGGATCATGACCTAAGCTGAAGGCAAACGCTTAAGGACTGAGCCACCTAGGCACCCCCAGCACCACTGATTTTAAAGGTGGTCCTATGAAGTTTTTTGAGAAACACTGAAAAGGCTTTCCGTAAGTTCAGTGGCTCCATAAAGAAACTGAGCCCATTTCACCACAAACTTGCCAGCAATGAGCAACCCTTGGTGATATATGGGAGATGCAAAGTGATTTAATTTACATTTAGCCACCAAGATTGAATCCCTTTCTAAAAAACTGATAGCATTAAACGCTTATCATTTTCCTCCAGTCTCTATGCATTCCAGTAGAATGTTATCAGATTTAAGAGTAAAATATTGGGATTATTCCACAAAAAAATTTTGTAATCTTTTTTTGTATTGAGAGTGAGTGAGCACGAGGGGGAGAGGAGGAAGAATCTGAAGCAGCTTTTGTGCTGAGTGCAGAGCCTGATATGGAGCTCTATCTCCCAACCCAGAGATTATGAGCGGAGTCACAACCAAGTTTGAACGCTTAACCAACTGAGCCACTCAGGTGCCCCTGTAGTCTCATTTTAAAGGCAAACTTAAAATTTGAATAGCACAGGTTTTTAAAATTTTCATTCCTAAAAAAACTGTTAGCAACCTGTTTTTTAACATGTCTGTTGGCATTATGGTAACAGCTTTCAAAGTTAAGCTTAAAACATTTTAGGAACTGCACATTTAAACGTGAGGCTTCCATACATCAGCATATGTACTAGTTGCTTCTTATAAAATTGGTTCAACGTTCCACAAGCATGTTTTACTGAGAACTTCACTTAATTTCCAGCCCATATTCAAACACCATTTACAAATAGTGACAACACAAAAGGCCTTTCCCTTCCCAAGTGGTACACCCAACTCTTCAGTGCCAGATATTCTCAAGTCTATTTAATTTTTAGTAGGTTATGTTCGTCTCAACTTGTTAAAAGGCAAAAATGAAAATCCAGCTAATAATCTATGTTCTTACATGACTCATTTTTGAATGACCAATGACTGCTCTGAAAACACTGAAAGCCAGTGTTACCTCCAGGGATGCTGCCAGTAACACTTAAGTTTAACTAAAACACTGTCACTTTTTCTCTAGTGGAAAGGCTCATTTCAAAAGATTGTACTACCCTAAACCCCTCCAGCTCACCCATACTTAAAATACCCAAGGGGTGTGGCAGTGCAGCCCAATTTCTTTTGGGAAACTATATCAGTTTTCATTCAAAGTTTTAAGTGACGTTGTGACAATTTCACTTATCAAGAAAACACTAAAAGGAGTTCCACCAAAATTCTGCCTTTAAATGTGGTTTGCATGCATGTACTACTTATGTATATTCCAGAAAACTACCTACACTTCTTCTATTACATTCAAGTCTTTTTCCTAAGCTTAAAAAAAGCAGAATGGCATTAAGTATTTTCCACAGAATTGAGCTGTTCTCATGTTTTCTAGAGAGCTGGGAGGTTAACAGGTAGAGATTTTTGGAACTTGTGAGCCAGGAACCAAACTCCACAGTTGTTAACATTTATTGGTCATTATTTTCAAACATTAAACTAGAGCTATCTTAAAGATAAAAACCTAAGAAACCCCAAATTTCTCACAGGTAATGTCATAGTAGTCTTATTAAAGAATTGGATAACAATTCCAGCTCTCTATATGCTAGACTCCCCCTTTAACAAATAAAGAGCTTAATGATTGGGATTTTGTATTTATCACCCCTACCAGATTTATTCTAGAAACAACACTTCACACGAAAAAAAAATGTAATTTAAGATTACTGTATTTCCTTACAAGAGGAACGTTTGAACAAATTTTACAGGT